CTATAAATGCACACCCTCCATAAATGCACGGTGTCCCTCGGTCCCAAGGGGGGTGCACTTATGGAGGTCTGACTGTATTTATCATCAACAAATATTGTTAATATTAATAACAAATAATCATATGAAATGATTATTATCTAGAATTGTTACACTACCATGGAACCCAAGAATTACAACACTATTGGGCTGCCACCAGTTTTTTGAAAAATATTCATCTACTGAATAACTATAGTCCAAAAGAGTAACTGAAATGGAGTGGGATTTTTTTGTGAAGTTATTAGTAAGTATTAGTATATTTAGTTTATCCCCAAAAAAAATTTGCAATAGAATCATCAATTAATGATAAAATTCAAGCCCAAATTTTTTTGCTAGTGTATTTTCATATAAAGTATGTAAAAATAATCACTATCTGCACATGAGAGAATATATAAAAATAATAAGGAATAAACAAAAAGAGAAACAATATGAGAGAGATCAAGAGTTTTCTTTCACAACACAGAAGGGATTTAAAGCAAAGAAAGAATATTTAGCATAAAATATAATTATTAATGTATAAATCTCATTTCTGTATATTTGGACTTACAGATCATCTCTCTTTTTAAATCTTGTTTAAGGTGAGTTGGAAGAGATATTCCTTTCTTAATAATTGATTGATATAGTGCAGCTGAGCTTTCAACTAAATCCTGAATGAAATATTATTATTATTAATTATTATGCAAATGTAAATATTTAATATTGAAATTTGCCTACCTTTATTGTAACTAATACTTGGAAACACCTCAACAAATTACCCCAGCTTTCAGGCTAAGGTTGTGGGCAAAACTTCTCCAGAAATCAATTCATTAATTGTTTATTAGAGTTTTGGCAGAGTTTCGCGTTTGGGGGTTTTGTCAATTGTCAGAGTTTTGACAAGGTATATACTAATTGTTCATTAGAGTTTTGACAGTCACTAAGAGGTTTCGGCAAGCAACCTTATTTCAGGCACATGAGGAAGGTAAAATTCACCAATCAAAAACATTTGATAGATTCCTTCATAATGTAAATCCATAACATATTTATATACTTACCAATGATTTGTGTACCACATATAATAAATAATGTTGTCTATAGAATCTTCAAGTGATTCACCCAAGGAGGATTTCATCATTTTTGCAAGACCCATATCTATTAAGTGTTTATTTGCATTGTTTGGTTTTATTTCATCTAAAAGTAGTTTTAAACTTTTTCCCCATTTTGTTGTTCCTAGGGATGGGCAAAAATGCAAAATACTTAGTTTATTGTGTGCATAATGTGCATAATGTGCATTATGCACATAGTAAATTATTAATGATTTTTAAAAAACATCCACCATGTCTTCATGATTTTAGCTTAGATGTAGTAAAACATATGTTTGTTGTTGTGATTAGAATACAAAATTTTATTATAAAAATTTATTATTTTACTAACTTAGTAAGTTACATCAGAATCATAAAAATCATCAAATTTTTCATTTCCTTCTTCATTTTCACTACTACTATTGTTATTAAAATATTCACTTTCTTCATTTTCATTTTGATTTTGCATTTCATTTTCTATAAATTCAATATTATCCCCATCCAATAAATTTTTATCCAATTCTTTTGACTCATTTAAAAATCTTTTCCACACTGATGTCTCTTGTGGTGTTTGCAATTTATAATTACTATAAATATATATATCAATTTTAGGGGTGTTAATTGATTTCATTTCTTATCATGAATATAAGCAAGCATTTATTTCATAGTTACAATATTTGCATTGTGCACAAGGTTGCTGAAAGCCTGATATTTGACCAAGTTTATTGAAGTGAGTCCAAATGGGTTTAGCTAGAGGCATTTAAATTTTTATTTCATTTATTATCTATGGTGCACCCGACAATGTTTCAATTTCCTAAATGCAGTGTAACAAATAAATCACCCAATAAAAATCAGCATAGTGGACATTTGATTTCATTGGCTAATTTTTGTGGTGATCTCCCTTCGAAATATCACACAAAAATCGAATCTTATTGGCTTGAATATCATTGCCAAAAAAAATTTTTAATAAACACATATATAATATAATTCACATTTATATTTGTTAAACAAAACAATTTAAACTTACAAAATCAATTAATTTAATTAATTTCTATTAATTAAATGCATATTTCAGAATGAGATAAAAAACCACTGAAAAATTCAATTAGATTTTCATAAAAATTTAAATTTAACATTAAATAAAATAAAAAAAATAAATTTTTTAAAATGAGACAAAACTATGGTCTATGTAAAGTTGAAAACTGTAAAAATAATGATCCTAATACAAATAAATTTAGAACTTTTACTGAAGATTCTAAAAGCA